CCCAGAAGCCAAGCCAAGGGAACGCACCCGCCGGAGCCCCGGTCCACGGCCCCATGCCCTTCCTCTCGACGCCCTCGTTCGACCTCTCCGCCGGCGCGGAGCCCACACTCGGCCCGCGCCCTCCTCCTCCTCCTCCCCCGCCCGCCGCGCCTCCATCGCAGCCGCAGGTGCCCGAGGCGGCGGCGAGGCGCCTGCGGGAGGCGGAGGAGCGGCTGCGCGAGGCCATCCAGGAGCTCCACCAGAGCCACGGCCGGGATGAGGAGGCCGCCAAAGGGGGTGGGTGGGGGTGCTGCGTGCACCAGGGGGAGTCGTGCGCGGCGCACGCGGCGGGGAACCTGTGCCAGACCTTCCTGCTCTCCTACGGCGTCCGTGTCGGCATCGGGATCCTCCTGCGCGCCTTCAAGCTCGCGCGCCGCAGATCCTACGCCTCGCTCCTCGATCTCAAGGTCCCCAAAACCTTACCAACTCTTTCTTCTTCTGCGATTACTTCTTCTTCTTCATATCTAATCTACAGTATATATTGGGTTTAGTCCGAATTGGTTGCTATAATGTATGTGGATATGTTACAGCTAGGTGATATCACCATCTCTATGATTATTACTTACTCGAATAAGGGGCAGTGAGTTGACTCTACTATTTGTTGTGTACGAGTAAAATATTCTGTCCAGCTGTTGTGTCTGTAGCGGGGATAATAAGTACAGTAGTACATGGTGCTACTCAGGCTGATTGCTTTAACTGATGTCCTTACAGAATATTTCCTGCTATGCATTGAATTGGTCTGCTTCCTCTTGTGTTGCCCACACTCACACCCCTTCCCAGAAAAATAGCAATGTTCTTTTGTAGGCCAGCTGTGTTTTATTGCTGTTGTTCTGTCCTTCTCACCGATTCATTAGTTTTCATCTCCGTTTTTTTACCTCCCTCTGTTTTGATCAATGAGTGAAAAATAGAAATGTAGATTGTACCAAATAATATTTGTTCTCGCTCAAATCTTCTATTTATCTACAGCAACTGGTTTCGGAGAAAGATCTAATAGTAAGGGAGGAAGCTTGCCGGGTAGGGTTACTTTTTGGAGGATTCACTGGATCATATCATGCACTGCGATGTTTCCTTAGGAGATTTCGCAAAAAGGAAACACCATTCAATGCGTAAGTAACTGGAGACTTATGCCCCGTTGTTTACATCCCTCTTATTTGATTGATTACGACACATGTTCAAAATAAGTGTGCGCTAATCACTTAATCAGTGCTTGGACCTGGGAATGTCCCTGAAGAGGTTCAAAATAGGATACTTTCTGTTATACGATTTTTGTCAAACATATTCATGACTCAACTGAAGGGCATGATGGAGCAGAATATTATCAGGTTCAGTGGCAGGCTTGGCGATACTAGCACTAGATGATTCGAGTAGGAGACGCACCCTTTCTCTATATCTTTTAGCAAGGCTTGCTCAGGTAAGCAACAACTGGAGTAATTTTGTATTTAACTTGCGTGTAAAGTATATCGTCCTCATGTTGTACTGCTTGATCCTTTCAGTGTGCATATAACTCTGCAAAGTCTAAAAATAGATTCCACTTCTGGGGTAGCCATTGGAGACATGGAGATGCATTACTTTTTTCTGTCGCATCTGCCCAGGTAACTAAATGAAAATGGCTGACTTGCTTTAATCTAATGAGGATTTTGTTATGGAGGGAAAAGCTTGTGTAATCACTTGATTTATCATTGCAGATTATGTATGCTTTTGTAATGAGGCCTGAAAGCTTACCAAAATCTTACCGAGACTTCATCCAAAAGACAGGACCAGTTGCAGAACCTGTTTACAAGGCTGTCAGAGATAGCTGCAGAGGTGGCCATGTGGATCTCATTGGCCTCTCGGCCTATTTCGCAAACAAGAAGAATTCAAATTTGATAAATTTAACAAGAAGTCCCTCAATTATTCCATGCTCTGTTATTCATCCTGACAGAGCATCGTGCTTGGCTCATAATGTTACTGTCACTTCATCAACATTCAAGAAAACGTTCCCTCTGTATTTCTCATTGACATTTGTCCCCTTTGTTGTTCTACGTCTTCAAAAGGTAACTTGTCGCCAACTATATTTCCTCTATATAGTCGAAGACTGCTGTAAAACTGAAACTTGGCACGTGATTGCATTAACATGTGTGTGGTATGCTTGTTTCCTAGAAAATTTGATGCTTCAAAGAAAAACTAATCTTACAAGTACCTTCAAATTGTATTGTCCACCATATTTGTACGTCTTTAACTTTCTCTAATTGCAAATGTGCTTGGTTCATTCTTTGAGTTTTATTCTACCAGTGAAATAGAATATTGGCCCCCAAGTCCTAAACAGCCTATATTGGCTTAAATATTTAGCCTCATTATTTGTTACTCCCTCCGTCCTGGAATAATTGACTCAACTTTGTACTAACTTTGTACTAAAGTTAGTACAAAGTTGAGTCACTTATTTTGGGACGGAGGGAGTATTATTTAGTACTCCCTCTGTAAACTAATATAAGATGTTTTAGGTCACTAAAGTAATGACCTAAAACGTCTTATATTAGTTTCAGAGGGAGTATATCTGTTCATTCATACCCATCTCCAATGTCGATTATCTAATACATAAAATTGCTTGATCAAATAGTTTTTGGAATCCCCAGCTGCAACGTGCTGGCGTGCTCTTGTGGGTGCAGTTCGCTCTACCACTTTTTTGTCTGCGTTTGTCACTCTCTTCCAGGTAATTATCAGTAACTAGCATGTTCCTTTCCACATAATTCTTTCATGATTGTAATACATTTCTGGCATCATTGCTAGTCTGCCATCTGTTTGCACCGTAAAGTTGCAAGCAAAGACCACAAACTTGTGTATTGGTTTGGTGGTTTACTGTCTGGTCTTTCGATTCTCCTGGAGAATAAAGCAAGACGAGCGGAGTTAGCTCTCTATGTACTTCCCCGTGCTGGAGAATCTCTATGGTATATATTGATCAACCGCCACCTCCTCCCAAATATAAAAAATGCTGAGGTAAGCTTCTTTGTAGCCAATATTTTTTTCCTTTGGCCTCAGCTCTTCAAGAGAAGCTATTTGAAGTTTGCTTGTACTATGTCCTTTAGTTGGTATTTAATTAATGTGACCTGAGTGAAAGACAATGTCAACTAAAGTTATCCTTTACCCAAGAAGTAGGACATTTTATGGTGATAGCAGTGTGCCTTTTGCCTTGATCACCGCAAGGGATCCTTTAAACTACGTAGAGGTCGTGTTGAGAAATACTCCCTCCGTTCCTAAATATTTGTCTTTTTAAAGATTTCAACAAGTGACTACATACGGAGCAAAATGAGTGAATCTACACTCTAAAATATGTCTATATACACTCGTATGTGGTAGTCCATTTGAAATCTCTAAAAGAACAAATATTTAGGAACGGAGGGAGTATTATAGTGCAGTTTGCTGAGATACAAATTGTTGTGGAAGATAGCCTTTGAAGAATCAGTATTATAACTTTAGCTAGGTTAAATGATAGTGGTGATCGGGACTTGACTTCTAGATGCTGGATTAGTTCCAACAATTAAGTGCAACTGCAAGAGGGTATCATGTTGGCAGTCTGACATGGTAAGTTTTGTGTAGTGTCTCAGGAAGTAACTAGCTGTTTGGTGTCTTTGGTCTGTGTCATATTTTTGGGTCATTATAATCCAGGTGGTCTTACTGGCTATCAGGGTTTGGCTACAAAAAATGAGCATAAACTGCATGAAATGGTTGGTAAATCTGGTCAAGGTGGCTAAAGTCTGGTAGCGCAAACTTTGGTTCTCAAGGTTTGAAGCCAAACAGCCACAGTAACCGCAAACAGTTGAAAGTGTCTTTCATTTTGTTTTATCTTAACTTTGGCTCTCAAGGTTTGGAACCAAACAGCCACAGTAACCACAAACAGTTGAAAGTCCCTTTCATTTTGTTTTGTTTTTTAAAAGAATGTAAACCCGCAGATAATGAGAAAAATCTGCTAGAATTACTCTGGGTTGCAGTGCGTAATCTTCACTTGATAGCGATAGTATCTGTTTCTATACTTGAAATACGAGTACCAACTTTTTCCTCTGTATTTTCATTGTATATCGCTCTGTTCCATGCTTAACAGATTCTTTGAAAGTACTGGTAACATTGGGAAAATTTCAGGTGGGTCTTTTCTGCATGTGCATGGGAGGGATCATGTACTTTCTGGAGTACGAGCCAGACACCATGGCTCCATTCCTTAGAGGCCTGATCCGGCGTTTCCTGGCGAGCAAGATAACCAACCCAAGCCCGCCTCCGAATCGCAACACCTCCTACTCCTACCTTCAGACGCTGAACGTGTTGGAGCAGTCAAAAACGCATCCTACCCCGGAGAATGGCCTCCCTACGTCAGAGACGTATACCCTTGAATCAATTCCTGGACTTTAAGAGTTAACAGTTACTCGGACTAGTAGATATCACACTCGTGGTAGTCTTTAGTCTGCGATTGTAATAAACAAATTATGGGTGCGTTTCAGGAGGGGTAGGTGACTAGGTGTTGGCGCCCCTTGCACACATAAAAGGGGCAACGTGTATCTGTCGTGAGTGGAGCATTCTAAAGCGATTCTTGTTCATACCCTTTTCGTTATAGGCTATCCATGTTCAAGAATTATCTATGTAAAAGTCTTGCAGTTTAACAGGCTTCGTCTTCTCTAAATGGCACTGTTTGATTCCTGAATTTGCTGTATTTGGCTTCTTTACTTAGAGCAACCCTAGTGAGTCGATGTATCGGCGATCGCCATCCATCATATGGAGCGTGCTTTATATGAACTAGCAACACCATGAGCATTAGTAACCCAAAACAGCTCATGCTCGCAGCAGTAACGACTCTGACATTTGGTTTTCTTTTGTCCTTTGGCAAACTTGGCAGATCTTTGGCTGCAAGGCGGAGGTAAAGAATATCTTCAGAATCAATTTTAATGCCATCATTGCGATTTACACCAAGCAATTTTCCATGTCAGACAGAGCAATTGGTATTGCCATAGGAATAAGCAGTGCAGGAGCACAGTTGAGACAAGCTTCCTCACATATACTATGAGTGGTAGCAAGGTTTACGCTTTGTGAGTTGTAGGGCAATGTAACCCGAGCAATGGGGTGAAACGTGTCTGTTGAACTTGTCGTGTTCTTGTGACTGGAGCAATACAGTGGTGTATTTCTGATGCACCCTTGTGTTTGATCACCAAAATCCCAATGCCATAGCGACTTCTTAGAGAAGCTCTCCATGCAGTCACAGGGTGGCTGCGCACTGCCATCACAGATCGTGAAAGGTCCGCAGGTTATAGTCGGAGCGCAGAAATCAACAGGGTAGGCAAATATGGTTTGCCAAGATTATTCGGCCTCTAACCAGATATTAAGCTGGATCTGACTAGAAATGTCTAGCGAGACAAATGAGTAAGATGATTCATTTGATGAAGTGTACATGTAGTACTCCTCTTCTCTGGTATTAACATAGAGTGGGACAATCGAACCTTTTGCCCGCAGATCCAATTGTAGAAACTTCTGGATTCTTGGCAAAAGTTTCAATATCGTTGATGTTTCGGGCGCATAAACAACCTGATACCCTAGCGAGGATTTGCGGTGCTTAAGAACTATCCCGTTGCCATTGGTTTCTAGCTCGATACTATACGAGCTAAGCCCAGGATCAACGGTACACTTTTTCGAGATTACCCGACGATTTAAACGGGTGACCTTGTTCCAGCCAAATTTGGCACCAGGGAGCAGAAAATCCGTTGGGTAGTCGAAGCTTTCCCACAACAGTTGGCCAGATGATGATGTAAGGGCTAGGTTTGCACTGTCCATGAGGACTACACAGGTGGTGTTTATGCTGTTGGTTTGTGTCCTATTGTTGTATACAATATAGTTGACCCATTGCGCTAAATGGCGCAGAGACACGCTAAAGCCATGTTGTCGATGAAAATAGTTTCATTTTGCAAGGACATATTCGGTATTGGTAGTACAAAGCCCATGTGTTAAATCTGAGTCTGAAAAAATTTCATACTTGTATAACATGTATAGACCAGTTAAGGAAGCATTTTTTAGTTCAACATATGATTATCATGCTGAGAAATCTGAGTTGAAAAACATGTTTGTATAAGATGTATAGACTGGTAAGGATGTATTTTTTAGCTGTGTTTGTACCAAACTTCAATTTTCCATGTGCACAAAAGAAAAGAAAAAACTCTATGTGTTGTGCATATGGAGGCATAGGTATTTGAAAGGCCCGTATGCTACTTAGCTCAGTCCACGAACAATTCTGTGTGTGGCCCTTTTCTTCCTCGGTTCCTCATTTGGGCGAGAGAAACGTACTCAACGGGTAAGATTTCTCCTTTTCTACTATTTCGAATTTCTCTTCATGCATGGATTTTTTTATTGAAGGATAGTATCGATATTGTCTTGGGCTGGCAGCCCTCCAGGTTGCATCAGTTGCCAAAGAAAAGAGAGATTAGTAGGAATCGAAACACCAAGGATTGACCAAATCACAACAGCGAAATTGCAAATTGTGATCATTTTTCATATATACATGGAGTGGCAGGTCATTGCATTGCTGAAGCAGACTAAAATTTAGAAGAACGTATGAGAACATAAATGATGTAAAGTCAGTTCTAGGTTTAAAATGGGCATAAGTAGTATTTCAGTATAGCTGCATCGGAATGCACAAAGGCTTAGTAACTGCAACAGTAAATGACACAGATGGCGCAAAGGCACGCTAAATTCATGTGCCCGATGAAAAAAATATCCATGGTTTAATCCCCTTTAATAGAAAACATGGTGGATTGTTGTCTGCAATAAGATGTATATACATATTTTAATTTGATAGCACAAAATACTTGCTACCATGTTCGTTGGGGGAACACAATTACATAAAAAGGTGCAGAGTCACACCGAAAGCTATAACTACCAGTAAATGTTATGCCAGAGCTATAAGACCATCATTCTTCTCCTGGATCACAACTTTTACCAGATGCCGGTAAGGATAGGCTAAATACGCAAAGGATCCTGTAATATAATGAATTCTGATTGTTATAAAAACTGGGCTGAATGTCAGATAGCAGATGCGGCAACTTATACACAAGCATTGTCTGCATGCACAACACAGGATAGCTACATCTTCGCTTCTTCCCAGCCCCAGGTAATTTTCATAGAAGCTTATCACAAAAATTCGGCTTATCTGAAGCTTAACACATGAATGTTATTTCTAGCATGGTTCATTTAGTCTTCGCTTTGTTATACACTCGATCTAACCAAGCATTTAAGCAAGGCACTTATAATAGAGCAACATCACAACAGTTCTAGTTATTAGGAAAAGGTTCAAGTGTAGCTTAAAATGCAAACAATTAACTGTACTTCTCTTTCTTTTGCTGAAGTCACAATACTGCACCCCCGTGCCTACTTATTTTGTTATCAGTGGTCATGTTGTAACACCCACGATGCGGCTATATCTTCCATGTGTCGAGGCATGACTTTGAGGTATAACCGCATGGTAATCATGTCGCAAGAGGGGTAATCTTTACACATCCCATGTACTGAATAAGAAAGGGATAAAGAGTTGGCTTACAATCGCCACTTCACACAAAAACAAGTAAAACATATATCATCCAGAATACAATTAAGGTCCGACTACGGAACCAAAGAAAAGAAGAAAACCCCAAATTCTAGATCCCCGATCGTCCCAACTGGGCTTCACTACTGATCAACGGAAACGAAACAAAACAACGGAAAGATCTTCATCGAGCTCCCACTTGAGCTAGGTTGCGTCACTTGCACTGGTATCATCGACACCTGCAACTGTTTGGAAGTATTTGTGAGCCACGGGAACTCAGCAATCTCACACCCACGAGATCAAGACTATTTAAGCTTATGGGTAGGAAATGTATTAAGGTGGAGCTGCAGCAAGCACTAAGCATATATGGTGGCTAACATACGCAAATAAGAGCGAGAAGAGAAGCAACGCAACGGTCGTGAAGTTAGAAGTGATCAAGAAGTGATCCTGAAGCTACTTACATTCAAGCATAACACAAGAACCGTGTTCACTTCCCGGACTCCGCCGAGAAGAGACCATCACGGCTACACACGCGGTTGATGCATTTTAATTAAGTTAGGTGTCAAGTTCTCTACAACCGAATATTAACAAATTCCTATCTGTCCATAACCGCGGGCACGGCTTTTGAAAGTTCAAAACCCTGCAGGGGTGTCTCAACTTAGCCCATCACAAGCTCTCACGGTCAATGAAGGATATTCCTTCTCCCGGGAAGACCCGACCAGTCTCGGAATCCCGGTTACAAGACATTTCGACAATGGTAAAACAAGACCAGCAAGACTGCCCGATGCGCCGACATCCCGATAGGAGCTGCACATATCTCGTTCTCAGGGCAACACCGGATGAACACTACGTACAGCTAAAACCAGCCCTCAAGTTTCCCCGAGGTGGCACCGCAAGTGGCTCTGGTTCGGATCAACACTTAGACAAGCACTGGCCCGGGGGGGGGGGGTTAAAACAAAGATGACCCTTGAGTCTGCAGAACCCAAGGGAAGGTGATAGGTTGTTAGGCAAATGTAAAACCAAGGTTGGGCCTTGCTGGAGGAGTTTTATTCAAAGCGAACTGTCAAGGGGTTCCCATAACACCCAACCGTGTAAGGAACGCAAAATCAAGGAACATAACACCGGTATGACAGAAACTAGGGCGGTAAGAGTGAAACAAAACACCAGGCATAAGGCCGAGCCTTCCACCCTTTACCAAGTATATAGATGTATTAATTAAATAAGAGATATTGTGATATCCCAACATATCCATGTTCTAATATGGAACAAACTTCATCTTCAACTGCAACTAACAACGCTATAAGAAGGGCTGAGCAAAAGCGGTAACATAGCCAAACAACGGTTTGCTAGGAAAGGTGGGTTAGAGGCTTGACATGGCAATATGGGAGGCATGATATAGCAAGTGGTAGGTATCACCGCATAGCAATAGAACGAGCAACTAGCAAGCAAAGATAGAAGTGATTTCGAGGGTATGGTCATCTTGCCTGAGATCCCACAAGGAAGAAGAACGAGTCCATGAAGAAGACAAACGGACGAAGTCGAACGAATCATCACCAACGCGACATTATCGGAACTAACCCGAAGAAGCAACACCGGAAAGAAGCAAACAACATAGTAAACAGCCACCACATAAACATGGCATGATGCACAACCAAGTATGATGCATGTCCGGTTTAATGAAGCATGGCATGACAAAGTGCACAAGCAATCCTAAAAATTAAGTGGAGCTCAATATGCAATGAGTTGCATATTGACGAAACACCACATTTAATTATTTAGTTCTCTCCCATTTAAACTACTCAACAAAATTAAATGTTGTTTAAACATGGCAAGAGGTGGAGCATAAGTA